TTTTTTTTTTTTTTAACTACGGTTTTTAGGGCAGGGGGTAATATGCATCCCCTCGATTGTGACAGGTAGATATGATTGCAGAGGTCCCCTCGATATAGCCTTAGGAGTAGTGATAGGTAGGTAGTGAAAGGTGAATTAAGTAAAATAAAATAAAATAAAAAAGCTGAATTTCAGAGAATTTGAGAGAAAAATGTAGTGTAGTATCATCAATCGTTTTTCGACAATAATCGGAAAATAAAAGTTTTTTTTCCCAAAAAAGAAATGAAAAAGGGAGATAAAAATCCTCCACCCACCCCCCCCCAAAGGAAAAGAAAATAAAAAATCCCCTCAGCTCCGGAAAACAGCACTCAGGGCGTCGCCGCACGGGACACGAAACGAAAAACGAAACGAGTGCATCTTCCTGCAGAAAATGGCCAGGTTCATCGGTTTGCTAGAAATACTAACGAGTGTATTTTGCCACCTTTCGTGGGCAGATGCACTCGTTTCGTTTCCGTTTCCTGTGCCGTGCGGCGAGACCGTCAGTCCCCCCCCATAGCTTCCACAAACCTATCTATCTTTTTTCTTTTCTTTTCTTTTTCCCTCTCAAATTTTTGCGTGCCATCTTCGCACACACAGCAGGGGCCATGTTAATCTTCTCTCTCTCTCTCTCTCTCTCTCTCTCTCTCTCTCTCTCTCTCTCTCTCTCTCTCTCTCTCTCTCTCTCTCTCTCGTTCGTTCCAATTTTAATGGATGTCCCGAAGTATTTTTCTTCGTTTTTAAGAAGCTATTGGAGATCGCTCCACTACTCTAGAAATGCACGAAAGACCAAAAAAAATAAAAATTATGGCTGTGTATCTTTCCACGTTCTAGCAGAAGATTCGTCCTCATTCTCATTTTGCACATTTTTGTGAGTGGTGTGCGGCGAGGCCCCATCTATCTTCAATTACCTGTTGCAACGCTGCCGCCGAAGAAAAATCGCTGAAAGTTCGTTGAACTGTCAAGCTCAATCTTGGCAATTAGCAGCCCGCGCCCGCGCCCGCGCCGCCAAAAAAATATCCGCGCCGGCAAAAATAGCCCGCGCGCCGCTCCGCGAACAGATTCCCGCGCGCGCCGGAGCAGGCGCGTGCGCAGCAACGTACCAGCGCGCAGTAGCCGAGTGGGGAAGGGTCACCACTTTTAGACGTAGGAGGATGGGACTCTTGTATAGCCTTAGGGCATACTGGCAATAGGACTTTTTTTCTACTAAGCTCTGGACGTTATTGCGGACAGATTCATCCACGTCTGGTCGTAATTGCGGTCAAATACATTTAGGAAACTAGTGTGAGAGGGAGTACATCCTTACGAGTATTGGTAGGTAGGTAGCGAAGGGGAATTTGAAAGAATTTTGAAAGATTTTGAAAGAATTTGAGAGGTGATGGCTTAGGGCTGTTGGAAGAAGGGAAAAAAAAAAAAAAAAAAAAAAAAAACTGTTGGTGGGTGGCTATAAGTCTGGGGTCCCTTGTATAACCCTTAGGGGTAGTGGTAGGTAGGTACGTAGTGAAGGTGAATTGAAACGATTTGAAAGATGATGAAAGATTTAAGAGAAGAATATAGCGTAGTAATAAAAATAATAATTAAAAAAAAAAGCAGAGGAGGAGGACATAGGGGGTTGGAAAAGAAAGAAAAAATGAGCAGAGTTTCCTTGTTAAAAAAAAAAACAGAAAAAAAAAAAAAGATAAGGGGATAGGTTTCCTCGCCGCCTGTTTGTACGATGCCTCGTGCCCTATCCGTCTTAACCGAACCGAACCCCCGGTGGTTATAGCTGTACCGGGGCAACCTGCAGTCCAGATACGGTCCTCCACCCTTTCCTTTCAGTCTAGATACAGTTTTTTTGTTCTTTTTTTTCAACAAATATAAATAAAGTTTTCACTACCGTCTTCCCCCGAACACAACGCACCCTAATTATGGCTGTATGTAACCGGGAATATAGCGCGTATACATTCATTTTCAGGGTGCGTTGTGTTCGGGGGAAGACGGTAGTGGTCTCCACGCGACATTCTACATGCACCTGGACGCGATACCTTCAAAAAAACGATACATTCAAAACGTTGGACCATCGAAATTGCATCTCGACAGGAAAGCGTCCAAAAGCATGTAAAGTGTTCTGTAGTGCAGCCAGGCCCAAAGACCTCAAAATAATAATAGGGAGGGAATCTTCTTCACCTTATGGCTGACGTGGCAGTGCASCGGAGGCCGAAAAGCGCGCCAAGCCCAATAATAGGGATGGAATCTTCTTCACCTTATGGCTGACGTGGCAGTGCACCGGAGGCCGAAAAGCGCGCCAAGCCCATAAGTGCAGGGCACGAGCTTTAACCACGTGTCCCAGAGCGCGCCAAGTCCAGAAGCACACCACCAGGCCGAAAGCGCGCCAAGACCACACGTGCAAGGCGCGAGATTCAACCATATGACAGAGCAAGATGTGTCGGCGCCCATCGAAGCGAGAAAAACATTGAACCGACCACGATGGGGATCGAACCCACGACCTTTGGATCCGAAGTCCAACGCGCTGTCCACTGCGCTACGCGGTCCACATGTTGAGGAGTGTGTGGATAAAAGTATTTGTTTAATTCGGATTAATGACACTGTGATTCTTACAACGCCATCCTTGCCGGGGGCAAGGTCCCACTTGCACGGATTAAGAGATTCTGGCCTTCGATCTTTGCTATCTACGGTCGGTATCGCATAATTCGTGTAAGTGGGACCTAGCCCCGGCTGGGGAGCCAAGTTCCACTAGCAGCGTTGAGTTTGCTCAGCTCCGGAATTGTTGATGAGTATATGCAGATGTGCAGAAAATTTCCTCAAACGCACGTCTCCACAAACAAGTTCAGATTCGGGCGCTGAGGAAACCCAAGGCTACTAGGTAGTGGGGCTTTTGGGCCCCCTTCCTTAGATAAGAACACCATGGCACCTGCACAAGCATGAAAAAAAGAAGCGAAAATTGCATCTGTACCCCACTTAAAGATGGGAATACCCGCCTCACCCAGTCCCAGCGCCAACTTGCATCTATACCCAGAAAACGGCTGTGTGGAAATTGCTTGCATGCCCAGGATCAAGGTGGACACAGGTTGGTAACGCAAAATTGCAGTTATGAAACGGTATTCACCAATTCGTGGTAGCTGAGGTAGATCCCAGGGCTCGATCCCTAGTTCCCCAACTTACCTGTGTACAATACCTGCATCAACTCGAAGAGTTGAACCTGCGACCTGTAG